GTGGGTGTCCGAGTGAAAATGTGTGAATGGGTGTCATATCTGTGTCATATTTTGTCATTGTACATATTGTAGGTTGTGGAAAGCATCTAGTAGCCTCTGGGCTGTATGCAATCCTCGTTAAAGAAACAAAGTATTAAATCCACATGTGAGGCAACGCGAAGCTAGCCATTAACAAACTACAATGACTTGCTTGTCCTGAAAGAAACACATAGCAAACGGATTGGGTGGCGCAGTGGATGGTGCACTCGCCTTTCACCACCACGGCCGGAGTGTAATTCCCCTATCGAGCCTGAAATAGGAACCGGGTATTGGGACATCTGTCTGACCACATAAGTTTCCTAAAGTATCACTCTTTGGGTGTCTCCATCCGGGCCAACAAGATTAATTGAAAATATAGATACATATATAAACTGACATTCATTCATAATTGTTTAAAATTATAACATTTCTATATAAGAGTCGAACAGAGGTAGCCAAACGGTCTCAATTCGTAGATCAAACAGGACAGCAGATTTTTAATGGGCACGCCTTCCCTCGACGAAAAACGATCCGATACAACTCCTTATCACCGGAGGAAACTTATGATAACAACTATGGTTTTGCGGAAACTTCCGTTTTATGTTTATATATAAACTAGAACATCAGAAACAACCAATTATCCTGATGTATGAAACATCAAAGAAACACTCCATTTAACTGATGGTCACTTATTGTATCTTGGAAGCAAAGGTGAACAAGCAGAAACTACAGGTCATACTACGTTTGATAGCCAAACGGCTAGACTGGCCACCAGCCCCTAAGTTTGTATGAGGAATTTCTCGACTGCATTTTACTACTAGCTTATCTCCCCCTAGTTTAGAACCTAGAATCAGACATCCAAGTGATCAAAATTATAAGAGTTAAATTATCTTCTTAATTATTTAATATTCTAGAGACGGTGGCCAGTCTACCAAACGGCATTTGATGTAGTTAACCATCAAATCTTATTCCAAGAACGTCGATTGTAGTTTACTACAAGGAGTTCAACAAGGTATTTCCGTAAACAGAATACTACAAGACATACTACAGAATACTCCTTCAATTTGGAGATATATATGATGGAGCAACGAAGGCACCAACACAATATAGCATTTACCACCATGTGAAAACGGCATTGCTCTCAAATCCAACTCAACAATAAAGGTGAGGAACTACTTCACTTCATCAAAGTGTTTGCTTGTTGGTGTTTTTTTTGCGTCCTATTAACAGCAATGGCCATTTATAAGGACGTGTCAGCTTTTGATGGCGGAGGTAAGCCAGAGTTACCGGAGAAGAAAACCCCAAAAACTTAACCTGCGGTCAGAAACTAGCAACTGCCCCGCGTCGGCCTCGAACCCGAGAGTGGTGGAGGGCAAGTGGTCGTAGACGGTCAGACGACTTAACCACTTAGCCACCGTGGTCACAAATTGAAATGTCAGCCGTTCTTTATTCTGACATGATGAATGGACCTAGTCAAATACCGCAGCACAGAGAATAAATCATCGGTAAAAATATAACATAATCACTAGTAGCAAACCTAGCTTATTTGCTTCTCGGTGATCGATAACAAGGGAAACCGTGTATCACGACAAATGTAGACCCACATCAGGAATACTATAATAAATCCTAAACTCCAATATGGCCCTGTAACAGTATTTTGTCACGCTTCCAGTTGAAAACGTGAATCCCTTCCACGGCATCACAATGAAGAGAAAACACACCGCCTACATAAAACTTCCTATGAGACTTCCATGCGACTCTGGTCCTGACATCAGTCTGATATCACACAAGACATCTATCTGTCAAAATGTCTGAGTGTGGTGTCCAGGCCAGATAAAACTCGGGCTACTAACACAAGACATATATACAAGCGGAAAAAAGAAACTGTGCATGCGGAGAATTGTTATAGAACATGTATTACCAACTATATATACATGAAAATTCACACACATGAACGAGTATGACACATACACACTATCCGTGTGTCATTGACAGTTTTTCCCGTGCAGTTTGCTCTCTATAGGCGTTGACCAATTTGCACGTTTTCCTCGTCCAGCCATCCAATTCGACAATGAAAGTTTATTTTTCAACTGTTGGGTCACTCTGTTGAGACCAGTGAACAGTAAAAACAGCATTATAACGTTTTAATTTGTGATTAAAGCTATGCCGGGCTCAATGAAAATGACCGCCTCCGGATTATTGGTATGCTTCAAGCTGGTGGGGGCCAAGCCGTTGTCTCTACACGTTTTCATGTCCATCGAAACACAATCCGGGATTTGTGGAGACGACATCAACAGTTTGGCCACGTCGGCGATCGACCTCGTGTGGGACTTCCACGTGTGACGTCACGTCAACAGGACAACCATGTTCGGCTTTTCCATTTGAGAAATCGCTTCCAAACGGCAAGTTTGACTGCACGGACAATCCCTGGGTTGCTACCAATAAGCCCGAGAACTGTACGGAACCGATCTGCGACGTCCTGCCATCCGCCCAGTTCTTCTGCCACGTCATCGTGTAGCACGTCTGGACTGGTGCAGAAGGCATCTACGATTTACTCGACGGGATTGGGCAGGCATTTTGTTTACGGACGAGTCGCGAGTCCACCTGGATAGTAGTGACGGCCGTTCCAGAGTGTATCGTCGCGTTGGAGAACGTTTCCGTGACGCGTGTGTGGTACAACGACGTTCTTTCGGTGGAGGCAGCGTTATGATTTGGGGCGGCATCACAGCCAACGGGAGAACGCCTCTGGTGGTTGTTAACGGGAATTTGAACGCGCTACGTTACCGTGACGAGATCCTCCGGACCCACGTCGTTCCATTCGTCACATTACGCTACAGCAGGACAACGCCAGGCCACACACAGCTCGTGTCGCTATGGACTTTCTGGCCCAGCAGAACGTTGACATGTTGCCCTAGCCTGCTGTATCCCCCGATCTGTCGCCCATTGAACACGTCTGGGATGAGATGAAGCGCAGATTACGGGCTTTACTTAATCTACCGGTGATGTTGGCTGATTTGACTTCAGCGTTGGTACATATCTGGAATGCCATCCCACAAGCATTCTTGAACCGTCTGATAGGCTCCATGCGTCGACGTTGCCAGGCTTGCATTCAGGCAAACGGTGGACATACGAGGTATCTGTTTTTGCTAAACACAGCAGGGGTCAATACTGAGCTCACACACTTAATCAAAAACATCAATTCGAGAACCCAATAACTTCACACAACTGGCTCTAAACTGTACCTATCGTAACATCCAATCTGGCCTTTAATCATCTCCGAAGCATATTACAGATACGGTCCTGGGCCCACTTGTATAAAACATCTCAACTCTTGAGATGTCCTCAAGTCTTAGATTTCCCATAGACAATACATTGCTTGAGATTTTCCTTAACTTTGAGATGTTTTATAAAGTCAGGGCCCCTGACGCTAAGTCTGAAGTATGAGCAAACGATGTTGGTCTCCCCTTCCGTGGATTTATAACAGTCAATAGATTGTGACCCTATGAAATGGGAAATTATAATGAAGAGGACTAACATGGTTCAATGTGTATATAGTGCCTGTCTTTAAAATTACGACCCAGTATCCACACCACTTAGTGTGCTTTGGAAGCAGGGTCACACTAAACAAGAATTTCTATGTTATATTTACTATGAAAAATGAGTACTCAGCCGTCGTTTGGGAGGGGGGAGGGGAGGCAGCCTCATCTTGGGTTTGTATTCTCCTCTCCATAGGCTAATGATTATCACCAAATTTCATCTAAATCTGAAAGATAGAACTACCTGGTCACATGCAGCGAGTGTCCCAATCCACTTTCCCTACATCAATTATTTTGGTGAAGTCTTTAATGTAGCTAGCAGTAAATACATGCAACAAAGGACTTTGTATGGTTCGGACATTTTTTGGCCCCCAAATCAATCAAAATTAAAAATCTTGAATAGAACTTTCAAATGACTGTTTCTTTAAGTTTGAATACTTCCCCGTTCTATTATGTAAACCTATATTTGTGTTTTCAAATATGGCTGCCATGGTGACCAGTTATTATTTGCATAAATGAAATAAATTTGAATATTCAGTCAATTTTGACAGGTTTTGCCTAGTTATTCTCTTAGCTACCATAGAGTGCACTCTTGAACAAACTTTATATTTCTCCTAAATATGTATTACAGGTGCCTACACATTATCCTTTGATATTTAGTTTGTTCAAGCATGCGCTCTATAGTTTCCAGGAAAAAAACTGCAAAATATGACAAAATTCACTGAATATTCAAATTTTTCTAATTTATGCAAATTTGATCTTGATACCATGGCAACAATAATTGGAAATACAAATAAATATTTTCATGATAGTGTTTGGGAAGTATTCAAAATAAAGGAAATAGTCATTTCAATGTCCATTTAAAGGTTTTGAATTTTGATGCATTTTGGGGCAAAAACACGCCCAAACCATACATAGTCCTTTCAAATGTACTGAATGTTTAAGGATTCCTGTCCCACTGCACGCAAAACACTAGAGAGTTCCACTAGGTTTTAATAATAGTGACACTCCCTTATTTGCATTTAAGATTTTACTGTAGCATCATCATGACTGAGCCAGGATATAACCATTTTTACACCCACAACACTGGGTTTTTACACATCCTCTTCATGTTATTTTTAAAAAGGTTCTCCAAGGTGTGGTTTGCTTTTCAGAAATAATTTATTAAAAAAGTTTTAAATGAATAGCAAGTTTTTTGGCAGTGGTACAGGGATCCTTAATGCAAATACTGTCTATACAAAAGGTATCTTGAATGACAGGAATAGTGGATACTCTGAACTTATTCACCCCTGAAGACACATTTGAACTCCTCCAATTCAAAGGTTGGAAAAGTTCATTATGAAATTTCAGAGGTGAATGAGTTATTCTGAAAGTGAATTTACATATTCATGAGATTGAAAACTTCATTATTAATCAAAGAACAAAAGAAGACATCACAAACTCTCATTTTGCCAAATTTAATGTTTTCAGCGAACAAGTCATAAATATACTGTAAATATGTAACATGCATATCTCATATCACTAATATTGACACACCATTATAACATTGTCAACTAAATTTAAATGGTTACACACAAAGTCTCCAGAACATTTTTCAACAAATGTTACAAGGTTGAACACATTGAACAAAGGTTTTGTCCTCATTACAAGGCCAACAATTAAAAATGCCCTTTTAAGTATAATTATCTAAAGAAATGCCCATTATAATATCAGTGTCTCAAGTAATGGCCATTATAATATCATTGTCTGAATTTAAATATCAATGAAATATTCAATTTTCTGCACGTTGTGCCCTAGATTTTATTAAATTGTATCATCCAAAAATTCAATTAAGTCAAATTGATAATTGGATTCCTTATTTCCATTGTTCTTGTAAAAGAATCAATGGAAATGAATAAAATATAAAGTAAGCACTCTGTTCTGTTTTTTTTCAACCTGGATCTTCGTTGATCAAGAATTCATTCATAAGTTTTGTGCCATAGTGGTTTATTTTGGGATGCAGGAAGCACTTTACTCAGACTCAGTCATATCCTCATCAAATGAATTCAGTAAACTTCAATCTTCTGTCAGTTACACTCTGGATTTCATCCATGTGAAAGGACAAAGAATGCCTGAATTACAGGATTTTCTGCAAGATAACTGTCGGTTATTAACAGTGTTCCATCATCAGCACACAATGGTCGGTCTACAATATAAAGTAACTCATCAATCTGACAATGTTATGTGAATTTTTAGGTCTCATCATCAGCCTGCAATGGTCAGTCCGCAACATAAAGTTACTTATCAATCTGACAATGTTATGTGAGTTTTTAGGTCCCATCATCAGCCTGCAATGGTCGGTCCGCAACATAAAGTTACTAATCAATCTGACAATGTTATGTGAGTTTTCAGGTCCCATCATCAGCCCGCAATGGTAGGTCCAAAATTTAACATGATTCATTGAGTTCCATCATGGTCCACATGATTGTAGGTTCAATATGTCAGAAACTCAACAATCTGACAATGTTATGTGGGCCTTCAGGTTCCATAAGCAGCACACAATGGCAGGGCCAATGTGTCAGTAACTCATCAATCCGACAATGTTGTGTGGGCCTTCAGGTTCCATCAGCAGTACACAATGGTAGGTCCAATGTGTCAGTAACTCATCAATCTGACAATGTTATGTGGGCCTTCAGGTTCCATCAGCAGCACACAATGGCAGGTACAATATGTCAGTTACTCATCGAGTTCCATCAGCAGCACACAATGGTAGGTCCAATGTGTCAGTAACACATCAATCTGACAATGTTATGTGGGCCTTCGGGTTCCATCAGCAGCACACAATGGCAGGGACAAAATGTCATTACCTCATCGAGTTCCATCAGCAGCAGCAGTACACAATGGTAGGTCCAATGTGTTAGTAACTCATCAATCTGACAATGTTAAGTGGGCCTTCAGGTTCCATCAGGAGCACACAATGGTAGGTCCAATGTACCAGTTACTCATCAATCCGACAATGTTATATGGGCCTTCAGGTTCCATCAGCAGCACACAATGGTAGGTCCCATGTGTCAGTAACTCATCAATCTGAAAATGTTATGTGGGCCTTCAGGTTCCATCAGCAGCACACAATGGCAGGTACAATATGTCATTACCTCATCGAGTTCCATCAGCAGCACACAAAAGTAGGTCCAATGTGTCAGTAACTCATCAATCCGACAATGTTATATGGGCCTTCAGGTTCCATCAGCAGCACACAATGGTAGGTCCAATGTGTCAGTAACACATCAATCTGACAATGTTATGTGGGCCTCAGGTTCCATTTAAAGCACACGTCGATAGATCCACAATGTAAAACAAGGTTAAGGAATATCACACACATCACAAATGTGTCTTTAGGGATAAATGAGTTAATAGTAAATGTTTGGTAAGCTTCCTTTTTTTTTTTTTTTTAAGCTGCAGATATAGACAAACAGGCATGTTGTTCAATAAGGACCGGAAATAGTTCAAAATAAGCCCTGCTGGTCATCTTTATAATTGTACCACCTTTATTTAGGTGTGTTAGCAACATTAGACATTGAGGCTGATTAAATACACGCCAAATTTCGATCAGTTTGTTACAAACAAAAGTTTGCTATTATGAAGAAGTTGTCGTATTTTTCTCATTTTAAATGCAACAAAAGTCAAGATCTTTAATTTAAGAATGCCTTAAGTCATATTTATAGTTCAATATGTTTTCAGCACAATATATGCAATGCAACCCTTTGACAAACTTTCCCAAGGTGTATAAAGAAGTATCGTATCTTGAAAAATATCATCATTGATAGAACCATATTTGTTTACACCAAACGCTTTTTGAATGGATTAGAGATTTGGTGTCAATATTTATTAGATTGAGGAAATCAATCTTGAATGACCTTGAAGTTTGACTGTGTGACCTGAAAAACAATCAGTATGCTTCAAATTTTAACACGTTCACCCCTGAAATTTCATAATGAACTATTCCAACGTTTGAATTGGAAGAGTTCAAATGTGTCTAAAGGGGTGAATGAGTTAAAGGTGCAGTCACCTGTGTGTGTTATGTACATCTTACCAAAAACAATACCTCCTGTTTGATGATGGGATATTTTTAAATAGTGATTTTAAGCACTAAAACTAAATTGTTGACTGACTAAAGAGAAAAAGGCATATATAAACCTGGTTGAAAATGGCTTTATAAATGAAAAAGGATATGCATTGTTTTTTCATCAATTCATCCATGATTGTTACCAAGGGTGGATAACTCTGTAAAGAAATTTTGTCGCCCACCAGGAGGAGCTTGTGTTTGGCCCGTGTCACAGCTACATTTATTCTCCGAACATCCTTTAAAAGCTGTCCAGCCTGAAAAGAAATCAAAGAACACATAACTGTTAGAAATTGAAGATTATTCATACATAGCTGTCAACCCTCCCTCATCAGGAGGGAGACTCCCTCATTTTGACCAAAATTTACCAATCTCCCTTGAAACTCCCACATTCAAGCCCAAACTCACACAAACTCAAAATCTACATCCTGTGGTCAAATGATCTCCTAGTTACTGCAGGGTGTGTGTAACGACCATAACAGGCGTGTCTAAATCAAATTAATGTGTTTCAGACTAATTTTGATACATAAAAAGGGAAAGATAAATTGAGCAAAGCAGTTCCAGTCACGTTTCACACACTTTCTCCCTCATTGGAAATGTGGAACGAGGGAGATCTCCCTCGTTAGAGGTTTCAGAGGTTGAAACCTATGTTCATAAGAACTGAATTACATTTAAAAAAAGATATTTTGTAGATTTTAAACAGGGCTAGATATTAATTTTAGAAACCACTGGTCGGTGAAGCTATTAGTATACAATTCTATAAGCCTGTGTGCATATTCCTCTAACCAAATATTATTCAACATGATAAATAATGTCAAATTTTGACTCGACAATCAGGCTAGCATTTTTTAGAACCACTAGCTCAGCTTGAGATTTCACTAGTCTCAGACTACCAGGCTACCGTACTCCTGTTGTCCTGTAAATGATCTGTGAATACTTGTTGCACCTTTTCAACAGCCTTCTATTTTTTTCCACTACTGAAAATCACTGCGCTTTGTAAACAAACATTTTATTCTAGAATTCTTGAATTTCCAAATGGGCAAATTTGGTGGAATAGATTAACATTTGCAAAAGAAAGCAATTCACAAATAATTCTCTCCTGAACTTCTAGTGACCTACAGTTTTAAAGCAACTGATTTCACTTCAGGAGTATCTGAAGGAAACTGCAAAGCTGCAAACTGTCAATATTAAAAAATCGCAGTAAAGATTTCCAGTAAGAAATTTTCAGCATTTTTGACAGAATTTTTCACGTAAGACCCATGTTTCACGAAGAAAGTATACATCTTAAAGGATCTAAAAACCGATGATTTGCAGGATTTGTGTTTATAAGATTTCAAATACTTTGTCAAGTCATTTTTACCACTGCTAGAAATCACCAAATCACAACAGCATGGAATACATTGTGCATATCCTGTTTAAATGTCTCCCAAAACATTTCCATCTTCTGGAGATTTTTTCCTTCAAATCGGCACATTTTTCTGCCAATTATACTTCTAGAAAAGAGGCATTATCATTGAATTCAAAGTTTGGTTCTAGCCTAATTTGACCTTGATGAAAATGCAGATGTGATTTTGATTTACAATTGCAATACTTGAAATGGACATCGTTACCAGATCATTGCAAACCTAATGAATAAAACAGAAAAAATCTTAATTTTTTTCTTACATCAAAATTCAATTTGGAAAATCGCACATGCATAATTCAGACCTAATAATTGTCATAACCACGCCAAAATCATAAGAGTTGGCAGCTCTGAGACTGTCTTAGCGTAAATTGTTTTTCAGTAGGACTGTTAGCATGTGAGTCAGTCTACCTTTATATATTAAATTGATCAGTACCTTAAGGACGTCTTAAATGACCTTAGCTGTTGATAAGACATTAAACACTATAAAACCCAAGGAGACTGCCTTACCTTTGACTGTTGGTCGGCAGATGAAGCAAAGCTTCGTGCGAAGGAAATAAGGATGACCTCTTTGTCACGACCTTGATACTGGTCTACAGTGTTGACCTCGATGTGACCTTGAGTTCCTGTCTTGTGAGTGTTTCTGAGGGTGTCACGGATGACATTGACCTGGTTCCGATAGGGAGCAATGACCCCTATCTCCTCTACTGACACACCAGCCTAAAGAACAGAACAACATGTTGATACCTAGACCCACAAAATAAATAGGAATTTCAGCTTTAGCATAGGTAATATGAGTAAGTTTAAATAAATTTGCAATAAATAGAAATGCCTCATTATGAACTGGAATGCATTTTGAAGAACGTTTATTGATCAATGGTAATCTCATTAATCCTTGACTTTTGAACCCCAACATGAAATGATAATAATAATAATAATTTGAGGTTCTTATATACCGCTTTATCACAACCTAGTACAAAGGGCTCGATCCCCAAAGCGTTTCACAAATTATTATCCGTGGTTATAGGGTCTTTGCAACCAGCCAATATCTTTCTCGGAGCATACAGCCAGTGCTGCCATTTCGGTGCTCACAGCTAGCAATCAACAATTCTAGCACTGCCCAACCACGTACTCATTTACAGCTGAGTAGACTGGAACAAGCGGAGTAAAGTACCTTGCTCAAAGATACAACACAGTGCCATGGCATGACTTGAACCCGCAACCCTTCGGTCACAAGTCCAGCTTCCTTCCACTAGACTACCGTGCCTCCTCAAAATTACCTCTTGGTCTATACCGGTATGCGGGTAAAGTATTTGTGAAACTTTAAACAAGTAGGCAAAAAAAGGTGAAGCAGAAGCATTCAAATGCAGCAAAGGAGCTTCAATATATTGCAGTGCAATATTTTAGAAATTTGAGATTTGTGCCTAAAGTGATTCTTTCTAAATGCATCCTCCCAATTCCAGGGTTATCTTCTCTTACGTACGTGCTCTGCACCCCTGAAATGTCATGACGAAATTGAAAGCTCTGTTCACCCAACCTTGTGTATAATACAAGTGGACAAGTTTAGAAAAAATAAAATTTATTTATTTTACAACAATTATGAAAGAAGTTATTTCAACTCATATTAATCCCTTTTGTTGACCTGGATGTTAGCACTTGGGGATCTTAGTGTGGGAGGAAACCGGATTACCCGGAGAAAACCCATGTGGTCGGGCAGGTGACCCCATACCTTTCCACTTTTTGGTGGTTGGATGGTGGAGTGGATAGCGCACTTGCTTTTCACCAAGGTGGCCGGGGTTTGATTCCGCGATCGAAAGTGGAAAGGTATGGGTTCACCTGCCCGACCACATTGGTTTTCTCCGGGAACTCGAGTTTTCTCCCACATTTAGACCCTCCACACACTAACATCTGGGCCAGCAAGAGTGATTAATATAAGTTGAAATAATTTGTTTCGTAATTGTTGTAAAATAAATAAACTTCATATTTATATATATATATACCTTTTCATGTCCGGTCGGGGAATCGGACCCCTGGCCGCCTTGATGAAAAGCAAGTGTGCTATCCAGTGCACCACCCGACCACCCCAGTAGACTAGTTTGATCATATGGTGTATATCAAAAGAACACCGCAGCAGAATACTGTAAAATATACCGCTTTAAAGACCGATGCTGCCACACTGTTATCTTCAAAGGACGGGTTCAAGCCTAAAGATTGTTTTTTTTAACTTGAAACCAACCAAATAGCTAACAGTAAGCAACCCCTGGAATTTTTGAGGATGTTCTAAATGATAATGAAATTACGATGTAATAACAGAAATTAATTATCCTGTGTTTTACTTACTGCAGTCAAAGCTTCAACAAGAATGGTGATGATCTTGGCCTCTCCTACATTTGTTATAAAACCAGATTTATCTCTTGTCTCTCGAGCTGGCATCTATCGGTAAAACAAATCAAACAAGTATATTTCTCATAAATTCTTATCTCTCTATTGAATGATATTCATCAGTTTGGTATAATAAGATGCCCAATGGGCCTGTATCACTGAAATGTCAATCATTTCACATATTTGTCTGTACTGGGTACTCTTCATTTTATTAATCTTCTTTGAAACATTTTTACTAATGTTTTTAATTCTGACTTTCAAAATTGGTTAATCTAGGTGAGACCCCACTGTCTTCATACCTCTCACAGTCTTAAGCTGCATTCCATGTATCATGATCTTATATTTAGCCCTCTTGGTTATTCAGAAGAAAGTGTTTAACAGTTAAGAGTTTTAACAAATGGATGGACGCTACACTATAGTATGGCATAATCTCACTTGGCCCTTTGGGAGCGAAACATCCATCAATATCCATGAAATTTCCATTAATCTTATTGTTAATTCATTAAGTTTGATTTTTCACACCCTGCCATAGCCCATTAATAAAGACATGCGCACACCGTTTGTTTTTGCTTACATTACTTGTGTTCAGGAAGACAGCAGCCTTATAGTCAGGATCATCCAGTAACACCTGTTTTAGCCATCCATGTTTGTCTACGACCTGGAGAAGTAACACATTATTATTACAAACACAGTACAGTTGTTAAGAACACACAGCTTTCCGGACAAATAAAATCAAAATTGGAAAATCCCAACCACCTAGGGATGCTTCCAGTCAAATTCAGATAAATCCCAATCAGTGGTTAAGAAGAAGTCGTTTAAAGACATTGTTGATGGACGGACGGACAGACGACGGAAGCCATGGTATGGCATAAGCTCACTTTGGTCCTTCGGACCCGGTGAGCTATTAATCACTTAAAACCACAATCTTACCAGGAGTCGAGTATATCTTACCATACTTATAATGGCTTAACCCTTTCACCACTGTAAACCATTATATAGACTCATCCAGATGAACGTATGGTAGAGTCTACTCAAATTACCTAGGGGTGAAAGGGTTTAAGATGAAATAACTCTGTAAGGGGATTTGTGCAATAAGTTGTTTGCAAGTTTTTCACTTTACAAGTGTGACTGATTTATAGGCATAGCCAGACTTGTCAATACATAGAAACATGCAACCTCCTATCTATTGTGACTTCCTTTACTGGTCCTCAGAGTGGTTGCTATAGGCTGATTTGACAAAATAAAGAAGTATGCTAGCCTACCACCTATCTGTAATTAACTCATTCACCCCTGAAATAGCCTTAATAGCTCACCTGGTATTTTATTTTCATACAGGTTTATTAAAGGAGTACAGGAAGCAGCAAAGTTGCAAGAAGAATTACATGTAAATCAGTTTTTGTGAGTAAGTACCAAGAAAATGAGTTTCTATGTTATGTCCCAAGGAGGTAGCCTCCAGGAATTGGTCTGGAAATGGCCAATGATGCTGCAGACGAAATTTGGTCAAAATCCTCTGAGCCGTTAAGGACTAGTAACGTTTTAAAGGAAACAGTTGACGGAGGATAGGCGACTGACGACTGACGCTGCGCATGGCCAGGTGAGCTAAAAACATGCCACCACCTATTTATCGAGACTATTTTTACTAGTCCCCTGGATTGGTTTCTACAGACAGGTATAATAATAATAATTCGAGGTTTTTACATACCGTTTTATTACAACCTAGTTTGTAGGGCGTCTCAAAGCGGTTCACTAATTATTATTCGTAGTTATATGGCGTTTGCAACCAGCCAATATCTTTCTTAACTGCCTGGGGAGCATACAGCCGTTGCTGCCATTTCGGCGCTCACAGATTACATTCAACAATTTTAACACTGCCAAATCACATACTCATTTACAGCTGAGTAGACTGGAACAAGTGGAGTAAAGTATCTTGCTCAAAGATACAACACAGTGACGTGCCGTGACTCGAACCCACAACCCTTTGGTCATGAGCCCGGCATCCTACCACTAGACTACCATGCCTCATAACCATATTTAACAATAACAATATTAACAAGAGGCCCAATGGGCCTGCATCGCTCACCTGGTATAAATCTCACACTTGTAACCTTAAAAGTGATCTAAAATAAAGCTACAGGCAAAATAAAATATCAGTATTTATGATTAAAATTCATTCAAAAGAACCTGTTATTTTTTTTTTAAACATTTCACCCCTGTGATTGAAAGTCAAACAAAGTCATTATGTTAAACAAATTTTATAGCCTTTCATCTCAGGATGCAACTTGCAAAGTATCAACATCCTGGGACCCATGGTTATTCAGAAGAGGTCGATTAAAGATTTTAAACAAATTTGACCCCTGTGACCTTGAATATAAGTCAAAGTCATTCACTTTAACAAACATAGTAGTCCTTGATCCCAGCATGCTACTGACTAAATATCAACATCCTAAGCCTTTTGGTTATTCAGAACAAGTTGTTTAAATAATTTTTTTATATTTTGACCGTATTTGCTCCTTGTGACCTTGAATATGATTCAAGGTCATACATTTAAACAAACTTGGTAGCCCTTGATCCTAGTATGCTACTGACTAAATATCATCACCCTGGGCATTTTTTGTTATTTAGAAGTTGTTTAAAGTTTTTAACATATTTGACCCTGTGACCTTGAATATGAGTGAAGGTCATTCATTTGAACAAACTTTGTAGGCCTTCATCTCAGCATGCTACTTGCCAAATATCATCACCCTGTGCATTTTATTTATTCAGAAGTTGTTTAATGTATTTCACATATTTGACCCCTGTGACCTTGAATATAGGTGAAGGTCATTCATTTGAACAAACTTGATAGCCCTTTACCCAAGCATGCTACTGGTCAAATATCATAACCCTGTGCATTTTGGTAATTCAGAAGAAGTTGTTTAATGTTTTTTAACATATTTGACCCCTGTGATCTTGAATAAAGGTGAAGGTCATTCATTTTAACAAACTTTGTAGCCCTTCATCTCAGCATGCTACTGGCCAAATATCATCACCCTGGGCATTTTGGTTATTGAGAAGAAGTTGTTTAAAGTTTTTAACATATTTGACCCCTGTGACCTTGAATATGGGTGAAGGTCATTCATTTGAACAAACTT